TGTGTGTGTGTGTGTGTGTGTGTGTGTGTGTGTGTGTGTGTGTGTGTGTGTGTGTGTGTGTGTATTACTTATTGTTGTGGGGACACAAATTTGTGTACACATTCACATTGTGAGGTCTCGCCTACTTTATGGGGACAAATTGCAGGTTAAATCGTTCAATTTTAGGGTGAAGGCTTGAGTCAGGGTTAGGGTAAGGTTCAGGCAGGGACTTGTGATGGGTAAGTCTCCAGGAAATGAATGTAAGTTAATGTAATGTCCCCAAAAGTGATGGAAACACAACGTGTGCGTGTGCGTGGTTAGGGTCAAATGTTGCATGCATTTTGGTGTTTTATTGTTCTGTGAAATGTTTACATTATTTATTTGTTGTTTATTTATTTGTTCATTCTTGTTGTACTAATACAACTTATTATAGAATAACTACCCTTATCGCACAGTGTTGCCTTGAAGCAACAAACCAATATCTGTTTGGGGGGGGGGGTCAAATTTTATGCTTGATATATTATTAGGGACCCTAAAGCTCCCCCAAAATAGGGAGAAATATTTTTTTCCCGAAAATTAAAAAGTCATGCAGTAGAGGGATATGGTAGTATTACTTCCATTAGCCAACATCCTAAGTCAAGAAGAGTGAGGAGTCAGGGCTCCACTTTAGTCCTGATGCAGATGGAGTTAAAATTCTAACACTCCTGATAAAAGATCATTAAATCTTTCATTTGGTTGCCATACATACTTTGAATGCAGTTTCCAGTCTACACAGTAATGAGAGTTTAGGTCACAGGAACATCTGAATACAGATAGTTGCTTAAATACCATTACAACAATATTAGCTAAGTGGATTTATTATTGTTAATGACCAGCTATAAAGCCGTGCATAATTACCCAGTGCATAGCAAATCTAACAGCATCTGGTTTTGTAATGATGAGAGTCTGGCTTCAGATTGTTTTTAATTTACATTTGCAGCACTGCATGGATTTAAGGGAGTCACACTCTGTGACTAGAGGTCATCTGCATTTACGCATTTCATGCCGATGGCTTTCTGTTGTACATTTCCCACCTAGTATGGGATGATGCAACTACAGACAGGACCAGCAGATTATTCGTGTGCTTTAAATTATATACACTTGAGAGAGCAAATACATCCTGCTGCAGTTCAGCCACAGCAGAACAGGAGAGACGTGCCCTGGATGCATAAGGTGTGTGAGACTGGGTGGCATTTGAAGCCTACAAAAGACTTCTTTTAATCAAAGTGGGTTTTTTTAAGTGCAGTAACTTCACAGTGACTCATTCAAGCAGATAGGGCAGCATACACATCAAATGTTTGTTGTTATTGTTGTTGTTAAACACATTATAGATAAGGCTCCTTTCAATTTAGGACCCTCTGATCAGACTGAGCGGAGTTTGTGCTCGTGCATCCTGTGTTAATATTTTACGGGATGGATATGTTGATCATGTCTAAAAAGATTCTGTGTCAGAGGCCAATAGGCAGATATGTGGAAGTGGACCCAAAAACAGACTGAAGAGACAACTGACTAGCAGTTAACAGTGCTTTATTGAACACAGGGAAACTGCTGCAGGTGAGTTGAGGAAAATGTAGCATGAGTCTCTGACGTGAAATGCAGGTGAAGTGAAATGAGCTCCGTGGAGGGAGGGAGTGTCCCAGCTGAGAAGCGGGATGAGAGAGGTGGTTGATCCAATCCTTTATTTCCAGTAATTCACAAGGACAGGCAGGTGAGGTGGATGCTGCCGTAGCAAGTAGACTGAGTGATGGCAGATAGCCAGCAATGATTGTGCAGCCACAGTAGTGGCAGAGGATGTGCAAAGCGAGCTGCAGGTGAGTTGAGTATTGTTCCAGGAACGGCAAAACTAAACATAGGAGTAGCTGACAGACAGGCAATGAGTGGAAGGCTGAGCTGGTCTTAAATTAGCCAGTCTGCTGATTGCCACTGATGGACCACAGGTGTAGAAATGAACCTCCACCCCAATGTGTGGATGCTGGAACCAGCATGGCAAAACAAAACAAAACAAAACAGCAGAAACTCACTTGGATCATGAAACTGAGGGAGTGGGGGTCAATGGCACAATCACAGGGCCTGTGGGGAGGAGGAGACACAGCTTTATCTTTACTTCCTGTAGGTTATGGTACTCCTTCAGAGCAGAGGATAGCACCGATGGTTGGTTGACAGGTGGCAATGAGTCAAAGGAACCGGTAGGTAGGGCCGATTGTAAGCAATCTGCCAAACAGACTCCAAAAAGCTACTTCATTGCCGGCCCAATCAATGATAATTTTTCTTTTCCAACCATGAATAGCCGAGGATCAAAGAGGTGTCGGGTGAAGCGAATCTGAGTAATGAAATGGATTCCCAATGATTTCTGGAGGAGAATAAACAAATGGGCTTGGTTTGGTGTGAATGTGAGCAAAAACTTGGCTGTTTAGTGCAGTGGCCGGTAGGGGGGGATGAGTGGGAGGTCCAACTGCTTGACTAACTCAAGATTGATGAGGTTTTGTTCAGCACCAGAATCTATAAGAGTATGGAGGGAACTGGAGACCTGGTTGAAGCGAAGGGTGACTGGTAGCGGGAGACAGGGTTTGGAAGTAATCGACGAGCCTTCCACCTGTATCCCTGAAATTACGGGGGTGGGTAATTTTTGGGCCGAAGAAGGAATGCAGCAAGAAAATTATCTGGATTCCCATAATAGAAACATTCACGGGCATAAAAGCACCTCTCGCTTTCCTCCTAAGTGAGCAAAGATCGCCCGATCTGCATAGGTTCAGGTGGAGGATAAGGAGGAGAGAGAGGTGGATGGTGGAGCTTATGGTGGATGTTTTTTCCAGAGATGGCAAAATGGACACAGGGAAGGATTGGAACATTGTTTTATGAGATTAATGGTCTTGTTCAGCCTCTCTCCCTCAGATGATTTTCAATCGAGAGAGAGGAAGAGAGACTAAATCCTCAAACGAACCAGGCTTGTCCTGTAATGCCAGTTGATGATTAATTTGATCGTATAAGGGCTCCTGTGCAAAAATCGACAACAAATTCGGCCACACTACGCTTAGCTCGACACAGATTTATTAATTTCTTCCCTCAGAGGCTGAATGAGCAAAAGTTTTCTTTAGCTCTTGAAGGCTGGAGGCTGGTGAGCAGCAGGTGTGACCTCAGAACAGAGCTCCTGAACTGCAGAAAGAATCTCCCCCTCCTTGTCATGGGTTTACATCACAGAAACTGGAGGCCCACTCGGGCCAACCGATAATGGCAACTTGTTTGGATATTGTGGTCAGAATTAGATCTGCTGGGTTGATTCTTTTAGGCCATTCTGTACTGTCAGTGGACAGAAGGCCGATACGTCGGAGTGGACCCAAAAACAGACCCTAGAGACAACTGACGAGCAGTTGACAGTGCTTTATTGATCACAGGGAAACAAAACTGGAAACAAGGAAAATGTAATGCGAGTCTCTGACGTGTGGACCACTGGCTAAAAGTGAGTTAGGAGCAATGGCTTACTTTTCAGCTGAAGGGAAATTAACTCTTTGAAGGGAGTGTCCTAGCTGCGAAGCGGGATGAGAGAGGTGGTTGATCCAATCCTTATTTCCAGTGATTGACAATGGCAGGCAGGTGACGTGGATGCGGCTGTAGCATGTAGCCTGAGTGGATGAGTGATGGCAGATAGCCAACGATGATTGTGCAGCCACAGTAGTGGCAGAGGACGTGCAAAGCGAGCTGCAGGTGAGTTGAGTATTGTTCCACGAACGGCAAAACTAAACATAGGAGTAGCTGACAGGCAGCCAACACACACCAAAACAGCAGACACTCACTCGGATTATGACACCCAGAGGTCTTTCAGTGTTAATTGAGTTGTCACATTTACTTCAAGCAGAACCAGTTACAGAGCAACTAGAAAGTCCCACCACAAGGTTTCAAGTACAGCTTGTTTTTCACCAACTCCAGCCTTAGGCGTTTAACATGTACAGGCCCATAGTCAATAAATCCAGAGTTAAAACAAAGAAGCCCAAAGTGCAGACCCTCTCCTTAGGTGACTGTCTGCATGTGGCATGTATAAGATTAGTGACTGTTTACCTGGCAAAGGTCATCAGGCCCGTTTCAGCATTCCAGTCCTGCAGTTTGTGGTCGAAGTTCATCTTTGTGTTTGGATATGTCTCTGCCGCTGTGAGGGAAAAATGTTACAAAAACTGTTTTTTTAGCACTGATGCAAGCATGACACAACAGCATCCGTTTAATATGACCACTCTATACTTCATTAAAACAATCAGGAAATGTTCAGCCACTAAGGGAATACGGCCTCATGGCAATTAGGACGAATCTCATGAACAACACAGCACAGCTGACAGTGGTTTTATGAAAACCTATGTTTAGGCTGTCACACTTTCCAAAATCTCTTTATCTCGGCGTTCGCTCCAGAAGCCTGGATGGACCCTGATAAGAGTGACGGCTTTGCAATCAGCCTCTCTTTCAGCACGAGCAGGCAATCTAATTAAATGTAGACCCATGCTGTCGCACATTATCTCCAAACGTACACTGAGGCTATCCATTAAATATTAGGCAAAATCCTTTTTAGCTGAAACACTAACATATCCTCTGACGTCACGTGACGCACTCAGCCGGTTCGAAGACGTGCATAAAGCTACTGCACAGCGGGCATCTGCGGTGGTCGAGGCTCAGCTCAATAACAATCAAACAAAATTAGGACAACTGCTGAAGGAGAGTATCCTTTAACATGAACGAATCCACTTGTTTATTTCTGCATCACTTTTCATCATTAAAGCTCATTAGCCAGCACAAAGTACTTAATGACAAGACATATAGTTGGGACTCTTGTTAAATGCTGATTAATTCATGTGCTCTACTTTAAGTTTGATCTGAAATTTTTGTGTCTTTTGGGATTTGCAGGTCAGGTGTGGCAAACATGTCATTGTAACATTTATGTCTTATTTCAGTGCCTCATTTTACATCGTGGGTTGCATGCAGCCCACTTTGATCTTAAGTGGGGTGGACCGGTGAAACACGCCTTTCTGTCATTGTAGAAAAGATTAAGTACACATTAAATCCCTGAGATGCATAAATACATGATGAAAAAGTGCTGCTGTAATAACTGAAAAATGTGTCAGTATGACTGGGCTTAAATTCAGAAAGAATGTCCCTTTTTTCCTCCAGTAATTTATTTTCATTTAATTATTTATCAATGAATCACTTTGACGTTGTGTTAATAGCTACAAGGGAGCACTTGATCATGAGGAACGGCTGTAAAACTTATGAAAATGCTATTAAAAGTCCAAAGTCTGTCCCATCCAAGTCATCCAGTCGACTGGATTGGAGTCTTTTGTGGAGTCGATTCTGGACCTCGGGCCTTATGTTTGACACCCCTGTATTATTTGAACCCCAACAAGTTAAGCTGCCCATATAGGCTGTATGTCGGAAAGAAGGAAAACCTATGCCAAAAAAAAAAAAATCCCATTTTGACTCATTTCCTTGTAACAAAGACTCAGCGTTTGGCTGATAAAAATTCCATTTTGGTGTGACAGTTGCTTGGTAATGTCATCTCACTTCCAGAGACACTATTTATGTTCTTACCTGTTAGCAGCTCTTTGTTCAAATTGGCTCGGTCTACCGACAGGATGTACTGAAAGGAGAACAATCTGTAATGTAGTGCAATTGTACAGGTACAGCTTATCAACTCTGCTCATTTTCATATGGAAACAGGAAGTCTCTAGGGTTTAGAATGCCTGCCTCTGCTTTCACTATCTTCACTGTATAATTTTGTTTTTTTTCCCCAACCACGAGGTGAAGAATCCTCGCCATACTGTCAGCACTCTAATCAAACAACAGCTTCCAAACACCCTAAAAGTCTGCAGTCTGTAAAGGCAAACAAACTCTATACTGTCGTGTGACAAAAACTCAAGTCTCACTGCACAGCCTGTCACTTGTAGTTGTCATCCTTTGGTGAATTCTTGTGTTACTTCACCAAACAACTACCAGTGTGTGTGTGTGTGTGGGGGGGGGGGGGGGGGGGGGGGGTGTACGCGTTTTAACAGGGGAGGGGAACAGGGGAGATTTAGCAAGCAAAGTAAATTATTCATCTGCAGGCTGTATCTGTACACATGACGCAATTCTTACAGTGTGTTTAGCAAAAAACAGACTATTATGTAACATTATTTTTCAGCAAACTAATGATAGAAAATGGATGTGCAGTCAGTTAAACAGCCCTCAAAAATAAACAGTGATGAGCAGCATAACATATAAGTAACATATTTTCTGCTCATTAATCAGTCTTCACAGTGTAATCTGGTTCATTTAGACTTTTTGGTTTTGTGTAAGTGTGAGACATCACAGAATTAGAAAATTCTGTACTTATCTGACAGCAGTCATGCACTTGGTAAGGCTTACCTGGCCTTTCCTGCCATAAGGGATTGGGGACTGTTTCCCATTCAGCGAATGGATCATTCTTGCATGCATCGGGATTCCTTTGGCAACAATCTAAGAGAGAAAAAAATTGCAGAACATCTTAAATGTTAAAACTGGACCATTGGGGATAAATAACGGCAGACATTTCTGCACAAAAGTTAAACAAGGGCAATCTATGGACAGCCAGCTTGTGACTCAGTGTCTGCCCTTTATAGTATATGTGAAAATGTGGCAGAGCGGGCCTTATTCTGTCAACCTGAAAAGTCATGCATGTGTAAAAATAAGGGACTGATGCAGAGTTCGCTCATGACGTGATCAGCGCAGCAAATTTGGAGCACCAAAAAAAGGGCCAGTGACCTTAGATGCTATTATAAAGCATCCTGAGTGGACTCAAGCAAAAAAAAAGAAAGAAAAATAGGAGAGTGGGAGATTTCCCGGGGAATGGCTTCATGCTATTTTGTTGCTAGAAATCAAAAGGAGGTTTGCCTCCATGCACTTTGGTCTTTCATTTGGGCCAATAAACAAGTGGGAAGGGTGGGGAGTTGCGGCAGGGTGTCACCAAGCCCCCCTCCTGTAAACTTTGCCTTACCTCTGCTTTACTACTTAAACAGTGAATAAATCGGCATACCTTCTCCTCCAGTCCAACATATTTCAGTGCTTGCCGGCCTCGATGAGACAAGGCCAGGTTGATGCTTCTCCCCTTCACAATCTTAGCACGTCGGATATCTGACCAGAGACCACATGCACAGGTTTTACACGTTCGTGTAATGTTCTTTAGTGTGTGGGTATATTTGTCAGAGAGTAGTGTGTGATGATAGCAATTACAGAGAAAACCAAAGTTTAAAGGAAAAAAATGCTTTGACTGCTACCTTCCCGACTTTCAAAGAGTTCCACGTCAAAGCCTCTTTTTGCAAAGAAGCAGGCATTCAGTGCCCCAACCTAAAGGATAGATTGTAGAAACTTTGTGCAATCCCATTGTGCATGGTCTTGTATACATAATTATCTTATGGTCAAACAAGTAACAATATTAATATGTAAGCTGCATATACCCACTGCTAAACAATCTTTCCCCTTAAATGAAGCCTTTAAAATGCAAATACACTTTCTAAAGTGTGAAAGTCAAAGGCCACACGGCGTGAAAAAAAAGGCACATTAATAATACTTCACTTTGAGTTTCTTGTCTTACCAAACCACCTCCCACCACTGCTACAACTTTTTTCCTGCTCTGTCTGCTTGTTGATCTCTCCATTGTGCTCAGGGTGCTCCAGCTCTCTGACCCACACGGTGTCCAGTCCAAAGGGACTGACGGGATAGCTGAGTTAAGATTTAAAAGAGGAGGAGCGTTTTACTTTCATAATCAGTTCCCCTTTTGAAAGCAAATACGTGCAACGGATAACAGGATTGTCCAAACAGTGTTGGGCATCTCTGCTGACACAAAGCACCTGATGTCCCTCGATTAAACTTATGCATGAGTTGCATAAGTTTAACTTTATGACAACTTCTACCTTATTGCGCAATATTAATCCTGAAAGTGAAAACATTCACCTTCCTCACGTCCAAAAACCCCCTTAGACTAGACTTTGCAGATTTTCCTGAGTTCAGAGAGTTCATTCGTAATAGGAGTGACCACAAATTCACAACAGACATATGTTTTTGGGGAGGACGTTACCTGAATCTTTAACGGAAAAGGTGCCTAGTGTGACGGATTAGAGCTCCCGATCAGAACAGATGATGTCAATTATAGATATATGAGGAAAGAAATCTGCTGCCATCTAGTGGCTACAGGTTCCTATATCGCTTTGGCGAAATGACCACACCAACCAGCAGGGGGCCCCCGAGCGCACGGAAATGTCAAAATCAGACCGGCGATACACACACACACACACACACACACACACATATATATACATATATATATATATATAAGCTGAACAGAAAAAAAGAAAAAACGGAGTAGAAAGTAGAAGCAGGATAAAGGTGTGTTCATTGCATCTCAGTTATTCATCGTTAATAGTCACTAACAATGACGTGGTTAAACAGAAGCGTCATATCAGTCGTGGCCAACTTATGGGATAAGTAAGGTGTGGTATGGAAACAACAAGCATTTTGGATTGGTAACCTACTGCTAGCTGTATAGCCGGTTAGTTTCTTTTTAATACATTTAATGCTGCCTGTTTTATATATATATATGCATTTGCCTTGTGATGTAAAAACTAATATTTTAGGCCTGTCTTGAATTCTTTGTGACTGCTCTGACCTTCTTTTTAAAATGTGAATTGTCTCCTTGTTTGTTTTCTTGCAAGCAGGTTAGTAAGTCATGATAATGCACAACTGATCAACTATGGGCAATACAGAGTTAATATTGGCAGTGCTGAGATGGGTGGTTGCAATGCCTTGCATGTGGCAGAACATCATTGGTTAGCACTGCTGCTTCACAGTAAGAAGCACATGCATAGGGTCAGGTTCCCTGGTGATTCTAAGTTGGCCATATGTGTGGATGGACATCTGTTTCTCTGTATTTACACTGCAGTAGACTGTAAACCTGTATAGGGTATTCACTGCCTTTCCCCCTGTGACATGGTATATGTCATATAAAAACATGGCAAATGTTTAAACTGAGTAAAAAAAAAACTGCAATAACAAGCTTGAAAAGCAAGTCATACTAAAAAGAAATAGCTGGAAGAACACTGTGCAACTAATTAGGTAACCGGCAATAAGTCAGTAACATGACTGGATATGAAATGAGATTCTTAGAGAGGCAGAGTTTATCAGTAAAGACGGGCAAAAGCTCAACCACCGTAAAAACCTGTGTTACCAACTGTGTAACAATTTCATATTAATATTCCTTAATGTAAAATGTGTTGTGCATTCAGACATGCTCTTCTACATACCTTAATGATGTCTTCCTATCAGAAGGTATCAGCAAAGCATTTTCAACCAAAGAACTGCCACTCAGTGGATGTTTTCTCTTTTTGGACCATTCTCTATAAACCCTACAGATTGTTTTGTGGACAAAATCAGTAATTTTAGAAATACTCAGACAGCGTGCCACATTCAAAGTCACTTAATTTCACCTTTCTTTCAAATTCTGATGCTCAGTTTGAAATTCCGCAGGTTGTCTTGATCATGTCTACATGCCTAAATGTACTGAATTGCTTCCATGTTGTTGGCTGATTAGATATATATTTATCTGAACGGGTGGACCTAAAGAAGTGGCCAGTGAGTGTAGAAAGGATAATGCAGAGAGCGACCCAAAGCACAGTACAGAGCAGCAATTTTTGGTTATTTAAATTCATTCTTAACGACTGAGTCATATTTTCTTACACACAACAACCATAATATTATGCACACTTATAGTCATACACAGTTTTCAAATGTAGATAGGCTAATATAGTAATTTCTTTTGAGACTTTAAAATAAAATATTAACTACCGATTGCTTGTGTTATACATTTAGAGGAGATGGAGGACCACGGACAAGCCTTGTGATTTAAAAAAAAAAAATTATTATTAATAATAATATTTTTTTAGGAAAACCAAATTATAAAATTTCCTGTTTTTCCATAGCAGCTTTATTCATTTTTCACTCTGACAAAGGGCTGGAAACTTGATCTGTCATGCTTAACGTAAAAGGAAATCTACACGCAGACTGTCTAATCGGTTTCCGAATCAATGACAGTGCTCAATATTCTGAACTACTCTAGCCAGTTTGGCGCTTCGTTGCCATTATAATCTTGAGTATTTGGCTTTACGACGGGCGCTGTCGTGGTCTAAGGCGTCAGTGGCAGAATCTATTAAATATTTGACAACCTGCCTCTATGAGGTGCGCTCTGCTCTTCTATCGATTGTTTGTGTCTAGTCAAAGATGGCGCCGTAACAGCCCAGGTTTGTTTTTCATGGGTGCAAAGTATGTTTAAGTGCATTAACCGAACGGCCCAGTTTACGAGATATCTTCAGTCAGCAGGCTACGTTTTCTGTCTTAACCGACCTTTTAGGTGAGCTCTTTTAGGTAAGTGTTGTAACTGAAAAATAGGAGAGTTATTTTTACACCGAGCAGCGAGCTGGCTAAACACCAAACTAATCTTAGCGGCTCGAGCCGGTTTTTTGACCCAGCTAACCTCACTAGCTAAAGCGAAATGTTAGCTGATCCTACATTGTGTATTTGTGTCCTGCGCTTCCGTGATCGCTTACAATACACTTTTTAGCTTTGCGGAACCAAATGTTTGCCAGCGAGTTAGACAAGACATCCCGTTTCTCACATGGTTGCTTGGTAACTTTTCTGAAGCTTTTATCCCTCATTAAATAAGCTAGCGCGACTTTGCTTTCTGCGTAATGGATTAATTTGTGTCCTCTACTGAGTCACTGTAGCACACTGTAATCCCCGTTGTGCTCAGTACCAGAGAGATGTAATGTTTCCACACATCTACGTCGTGGCTGTCTTTTAACTGTCATTGCTGTTTAGCTTACTGTACGTAAGTAGCAATTACACCAAGGCAGTAATAATAGTTGGTTATCTAAACTGTGTTGCTGGTTTCGTTTGATTTTTTTGTTGTTCAAAAACAGTGTTCCCGAAAATCATTAAAGATTTCATGTAATATTTCAGTAAAACTGCAGTAAACGAGCCATGTGTTGCTTAACAGCTCTTACAGTAATGTGTGGAAACTACGTGAGTCACGGCACCTGTTAAAACACAGCTAAATCCTTATGGGTGTTTTTTTTTTCCTTCTTATTCATTCAGATAGATAATTTCTATATACACAACTATCTAGAAACGCTTTACTTCTTTATGCTTCCAAGGACCCAGACTTTCTTTCATTTATTTATTTATTTTTATTGGTCTTGAGCAGTAGTTCTCCAGGCTTTCTTACATTTTTCTGACACAAGTTTTTATTTGGACTCTGGCAGCTTTTTGAGTCGGTTTTAGCCATTGTACATGATCATTTTCACAATAATCTTTTTGATGTTGGTTTTTAAATTTTGTTAAGACACTTAACACTAACCAGGTGATTCCCATAGAGCTATTAGCTGAAAATGTATGACATATGTTAACATCTTGTGCAGTGTATCCTGCAATTTGAGGAAATTGGTTAAAAGAAGTTTTAGACCTGTCACTTTTATCTGCAACAGACGAACTGTATCTTAAAGTCATGTCTTTAAGGAATAGAGGAAAAAGACATCCTGTCAATACTTGAAAGATGCATCTGGGACCTTCAGATGATCCATCTGCTCATCGCTGCACTCTCATTAGAAACGTTCTCAGTTGAAGAATGGATGTCACCATGTTTCACTTCTTAAAGAATAAAAAAAAATACACAAGAACAGGACTTAAAACCAGTGGAAGAACAAAATATTCTTACACAGTGATGAATCCAAATTTGAACATTTCAGTTCAAGTCGTCAACAGTATATATGGAGGTGGTTGGGAGAGGTCCAACTGTGAGTTTCTACAGTCATCTGTGAAACTTGTTGGAGGCTATGTCATGGTTTGGGACTGATGTTGGCAATCATGTAAAAACTGATGAATTATTACTAACCTATTTAACAAACTATGCAGTACTATCTGGAACATGTCTGATTGGTTCATTTTTAGCATGACAGTGTGTTTAAGAATAAAGGTGGTCATACCAAATATAGACTTCTAAGCTCACTTGCATTTAGAGGCATCTATTGTCCTAAAATCTCCTTTGGCCATTATGTCATGTTAAATCAAAACATATTACAATTTTAATTGTAAGTGTCCATTTGGTTTTCTTTGCTTGCAGACTGGTGTCATCCTTGTCAGTCAGAATGACCGACCCGGCTGTGAGGAGGGTGGTTAGTGATGTTATTCGCTCACCTGAGGATAAGCGGGAGTACAGGGGCCTGGAGTTTATCAATGGCCTGAAGGCAGTGCTCATCAGTGACCCGACCACAGACAAATCTTCAGCTGCTTTGGATGTCCACATAGGTAAATAGGTTTTAATTTTCTTTGTCCTGGCCAGGTGACCATGATTTTTTTCCGTGTTCTATCACACCATTTGGAAAAGCAGAGCAATTTTCCCACATCATAATATAACTGTGCCTTGCTGACCAATATACTTTCATGCATAGAGTTGCCTCATTAGTTGCCAGACGTCTTTTAAGCTTTGGATGGGTATTTCTGATGTCTATTATCTAGTATTTCTTTGCAAACTAGATATGACATTATGTACTTATCGGGTTTCTCTATTATAGCTTTTCACCAGCAAATAACATGTAACTGTTGGGACTCACAGCTTAAAGTTCTCACTGACTAAGCATTAGATAGTTGTTTTGAATGTCTGAGGAAGTTGTGAAATTCCTGTGACATTCTTTTTATATGTTGAATAAAAATGATAAAGAATTTAGTCATGTACATCTCATTGTTTATAAATCTACCTGTTGTGGTGCCGTTACAGATCTGTTTTTCTCACCTGGCAAACATTAAGTCACAACTGTTGCATGGATGAAAGAGAAGCAGCACCATTAACTACATTTCTCTGGGAATTTCTTTTCAATTTGCAGGTTCTCTGTCTGACCCACCAAACATTTCAGGGCTGGCACACTTTTGTGAACACATGCTGTTCCTGGGAACAGAGAAGTACCCCAAGGAGAACGAGTACAGCCAGTTCCTCAGTGAGCACGCAGGCAGCTCCAATGCCTTCACCAGTGGAGAACATACCAACTATTATTTTGATGTTTCCCATGAGCACTTGCAAGGAGCATTAGATAGGTATGTTGGTGTTCATTTGATGGTATTAATTTTGGCAGAAACATCAAAGTGATACATGATACACATTTAAAAGCTCAGTGGTCTTACATTTCTAGTAGATAGATTAAAAAAAATTATATATATATATATATATATATTTTTGGTGACATTGTCTAATTGTTCCCTTGTGCTGTTCAAGCCACCTGGACTTCAGTGGTAGGAAAGAACTGTGAGGAGTGATCTAAGTTATTGATGATGATTCCTTTGTGGAAAATGAAAGGATCGTATAATTCAGTTAGTCAGCATAATTTTCCTATTCTTATTAAAAATATATACAAACTAGATATCTGAATATTATGGTTTTTCTTTTAAAATTATAGTTACTTAATTAAACCAACATTTCTAGGTTTTAGGAGGTAAACAGTGAAAGATTATGAGTATTTTGGAGTTTGTATGTTAAGAATACAACATCTATTAAAAGAAGTTCATGGTCCATTTCCTTTGCAATAATGGTGTTTGTTTGTTTTTTTAAGCAGCCTTATGATGTGACAGAACTACAGTGATTACTTTTTACAGTATAATGTTTGCTGTGTACATCTTTAGATGCACACTATGAATTTTAGTGTGCTTAGCATTTCCTCATTTGCATGGCAGTTGCTCTGACTTTGTACTCTTGCAAAGCTTTTGTTCATTTTCCAAACAGTCATAACGTATAATCTGTATTTAATATAAACAAGATTGTACACACCAGAAAATGCTGAAAATCTGAAATCTAGTAGTATTATCACACACCTCTGTTGTTATTCTACATGCTGAAATGTACTCCTTGATAACAGCAACTTCTGACCTTTGTAGGTTTGCCCAGTTCTTTCTGTGCCCATTGTTTGACGAGAGCTGCAAGGACCGCGAGGTGAATGCTGTGGACTCTGAGCATGAGAAAAACCTGATGAATGATGCCTGGAGGCTGTTTCAGTTGGAAAAGGCCACTGGCAACCCAAAACACCCTTTCAGTAAATTTGGAACAGGTAGAGACTGTTCTTGCCAGACTTCACTTTGAAACTATATCATTACATCATTCATTCTGACTGCTTAGTGCATAGGTGTCCAACTCTGGCCCTACCAAATTACTATCAGAGCTGGCCTACTGGTATTATACAGCTAATATATATATTGTTTAGTATTAAGCTTTGCTCTTCCATACTCAGTTTTTCAGCTAAACTTGTTTGAGTCCATAAGAAAAGATTCATTCTTATATCTGGAGGAAGATTTTTTTTTTTCTTCAATAAATATTAATGTTAGCCCCCTACTTTGTTCCATTTTGAATTTTGGCCCACTGTGTATTTGAGTTTGACACCCCTGGCTTAGTGCATCGCACTTAAATTTTTATAGCAGAATATTTTGTCTGGAGAGCAAAACCGCCCTGCACAGAATATTTAAGCAAGGATTCCCTTCATACGGTCGATATGTGTTTTAGATTTTGTATTAGACTACTAATCTAGAGCAGAATCCAGTCACATATGTTAACTGTGGCTAATATTTGATTAAATGAGGTTTACATTCATGCAGCCTACTTATTATAAGAGACGGCTGTTTTAGCCCAGAAATACTTCTTAATGGCTTTGGTTTTTTATTTTAAACATGAACTCATTTCATTTTGGTTTTTTTGAGTTTTCTGATAGTCATTCCAGATCAGAGTGACGTATACTCTGAGCAGCTCTGAGCTCAAAATAGCCACCTGATGGCAGTCTTGAATTATACCGTCTGTATGCACATTAAGAACAGGACAGGATCAGACGTATCTGAAAGCAGTGCACTCAGCAGACTAACATAGCTTCTCCTGTCTGCTGCTTTGATGGTGTCTCTTTTAAAAAACAAAAAAACACTTAATTTGCCTTAGAAGTGCTTCATGTAGACTGTAGCACTTGTTTTAGGGGGTTGATTTTATAATATAGAAATTGATTATGGAATGTAATTTCACTGAATTTCACTACGGGAGTGTGTTGCCTTTTCTTAATTACATTAAAATGTACATTGCTGATCTTTTTATAGGAAATAAATTGACACTAGAGACCAGACCATCTAAAGAGGGGGTTGATGTCCGTCAGGAGCTTCTGAAATTCCACTCTACATATTACTCTTCTAACCTCATGGGACTGTGTGTGTTAGGAAGAGGTAAGATGACATTGCTCACGCATGTGATGTTTAAATGTTGCAAAATAATCATCTGACCTGAACAATGTGCAAGTCATGCATGAATGTTGCCTGAATTCTAGTATTTCACATTTCATCGTAGAGCAAAACGATGTGTTGTTCTCAAATCAGCTGTGATAATGTGCCTTGGTGTCACTGCCAAAAACGAATTCCATCGAATAACGTGAAAGTGATGAGAGACTTGAGTTACTGGCTTTTAGGGACATTAAACCTGTTGTCGAACATTTTTGACTTAGTGGTACCATGGACAAGTGCCATGCCTTAAAAAAAGAGCTAATTTTGTATAAAGTAAGCTATATTAATGTATTTTTATTTATTAATAGATTTATATAAGTAATCTAAAGTTGCAAAATAACTTGAAATTAAAGCTTTAAAATGAATAAATGAATGCTGGACTTGTAGACTCACCATCCTTCCAGTCCATACAGGACACATGATCCTGCATACCACAGTTCACCCACGCATGTAGTTAGTAAGTCATGTGGGTGTGGTGTCATACAGATTTATTTTTCTTTTCTTGTCCTTCTGTACTAAGCTGTATTAATCAGTGAGCGTTCTTAATATTTAAAACTTCAAGACTCAGTTTGAAATCAAAGTTGTTAGCTTCACTTTGTGGAGAAATATTTTGTAGTATTAAATCCTACTAAAAAATTGTGTTGGTTTGATAGAGTTTATAATACCTAGGAGCGCCTTGGGTTAATTATAAATATGACTCAAACACTACTAAAATGTATTACCTATCCAAATTAATACATTTTAGTAAGCTGAACAATTACTTCAAATACTCTTAGACAAAGAGCACGTAGATTTAAAAAAAACAAAACAAAATACAAATGTTAAGTGCCAAATGTTCAGCAATGTACTTTTAAATTAAAACTTAACAGTGTCTAATTTCAAACCAGGATACACACAGTTCTTTGTGGCATTTGTTTTCCATTCCATTATAGGCCTTTAAGAATGGCCTATAATCTGCTTTAGTGTTAAAATACAGACTGCAAGCAAGGTTTACTTGAGCCAGTTTGTTTGACAGCTAAAAGTTACAGGCTTGAAATGCTAATAGCTAGCCAATCAACTGTTTTGGGGTTTTGTTTTATTTTTTTAAGGGAGGGAACTTTATTGTAAATTCAGTATCTGTGATTTATTTATTTCTTTTATTTTATTTTTTTTAAACCCTTTGTTGGCAGAATCACTGGATGACTTGACGGCCATGGTGGTTAAATTATTTGGAGAAGTGGAAAACAAAAACGTGCCTGTTCCAGAATTTCCCGAACACCCCTTCCAGGAACAACACCTTAAAGTGAGCTGTTTACTTCTCACTCCTTTACATTTTTACTGCATTGCAAAATGTCTGTAAACATTTTTTTCCCCTAACACGTTACTTTGGGATTCATAAATTCTTCTGTTTACTACAGTCATTGAAGTGTCAGATGAAAGATCCCTTAGTAACACATTTCTGGTTGGTGTTGTTCTTCTTTTTTCCTGTTACAGCAATTCTACAAAGTGGTTCCCATCAAAGACATTAGAAATCTTTATGTGACTTTCCCCATCCCAGATCTACAGCAGTACTACAAATCAAACCCAGGACATTATCTGGGACATCTGATTGGTCACGAAGGACCTGGAAGTTTGTTATCTGAGCTGAAATCTAAAGGTAGCAGACTGCAAGCTGGTGTCAAATATTATTAGAGCAAGTGATACACTTAGTAAAACCATATCCTAAAATATGTGATTGGCTCCGAGGTGACATAACAAAAAAAGTTTCATCATTGAACCATAAAATGTAACACCAGGAGACCTGTGTTCGTCTAATTTAGTGATTGGAATAGAAGTCAATTTTCTTTTCGGACAGAAACATTCACAGTAACAGTTTCTTTTATCATAAAAATGAAAGAAACACCTTACTAAATTTTCACAATAATTACTTTCTAAGGCTGGGTGAACACACTTGTTGGAGGTCAAAAAGAGGGAGCCAGAGGATTCATGTTCTTCATCATCAATGTGGACTTGACTGAGGAGGGCCTCTGTAAGTCATGCATCTCACTACTTTACATGAATTGTACCTAGTTTGTGTGTTTTGCATGTGATTATGATCAATCCCAGTATGTGTAGGGAAAAGAAATGTAAATATAAAATCTTGGGGCATGATCTGTGTGTCACTGCAGTGCACGTTGAGGACATAATCTTCCACATGTTCCAGTACATCCAGAAACTACGTACTGAAGGGCCTCAAGAGTGGGTGTTTGAGGAGTGCAAGGTGATTTATGTTGTTAGTTCAGTGATACTTTCTAAGAGTCAGTATAAACGGATTTCCTATTCCTCACTGTAAAAGCTAGTTTTAAAAAAGAAATTAGAATAGCATATGGATTCCATTATGTGCATCACAGTTAATAGATCTGGATCAATAAGCTAAATGAATGTAGTCATTGTATGTTTGGTGATTTCAGCTGTTACACCTTCAACCTTTTTGTCTCTCTCTATAGGATTTAAACAATGTTGCCTTCAGGTTCAAAGACAAGGAGCGTCCCCGTGGCTACACTTCCAAAATTGCAGGTTTACTACATGTAGGTCCCTCTTTTATCTGCAGTCATTGTTTCCAGGCAGCCTTGTCAGAATCAAGCTAGTTTTTATTTGTATCAAAATGCACATATGTGATGGTTGCAGCAGGTGGAGTAAGGTACCAAATGTTTAATTTACTTTTTGGGTTCTGGGGACAGCAGTCTAAGGAGGAAACCCAAGACTTATCTCACATTAGCCAGTTTTTCCTGCGAATCCAGGGAGATAAAGAGTCCTTCTCTTGTCAGACAGGAGATCTCCAGTGAGTCTTGGGTAAGGGCATGCAGTCAAATGCATGCAAAATACCCACCCCTGCCGCTGTTTCTCACCTAGTGCAGCTCCAAAGTGGAACAGAGTCCAGCCCTTCACCAGGAGCTTTGTTCCAGAGCCCAAGCTATGTGTTGAGGCGAGCCCACTATATCCAGTTCATGTACCACAAGCAAGTACATGGAAGCCGGGGATTGTGTTGAGACCTTCACCTTTGAAGGTCCCACTCAACATGGGCCCCTACAGCCCTTTTAGACCCATGTAGGCTTCTTTGGGCAAAGGCCAGCTGGATCCCATGGGCTAAAGCACATGGCTCCAAAGTGGGGGCTTGGTCCTTTATTTTATTTTTAATACAAGGGGTTGCTTTTGCATATTTAAGATGGAATACATGCACATCTCCATACATTTGAGAGCTTGCAGTCATTGTAAGATATTATGTAACAACTTTGTATATCTACTGTGCTACCAAAAACACAGCGAGGTTTTAATAGTAAATTAGATTCATCGTCGGTCCTTTTAAGTAGAAGTTTAGAATTTACTTTATGGAGGCCTTTTACACATTTGTGTTTTCAAACGGTGCAATGCCAACAGCTTTCTTTGTGTGTCGTAGTACTACCCTCTCGAAGAAGTTCTAGCAGCAGAGTACCTCTTGGAAGAGTTCAGGCCAGATCTGATCGAGATGGTGCTGGATAAGCTGAGACCAGAACACGTCAGGTCAGTGTGACTTTGCAATGTGTAGTGAGGCTCACTTTACCTTTTCTGTTACCAAGTAATAAACTACACAAAACTAGAAGTAGATTGAGGCAATAACAACAGTTGTAAAAGAAGACTGAGTTTTGTGTTTATCAAGCAAAAAAATAACCTGCTGATTAGATCATTTCTGCAGCAGTGAACTTGTTGGGCAAATTTCTGTTTGCTTCTTTTACTTTAATCTGAATGTATAATCTCTCAGAGGAAGATGTGGGCACATAGTGTGATAAACTTTAAGCTAAACTTTACAGCTGCAGTCCCACTTGGATAACTGGACTGAAATAAAAGTGGGCCTGGTGTAGCTTTAATTCATTTACTGGGTTGCAGCTGCTGTGCCAAGCAAAGTCCAGACTTGTAACCGGTCCATTTCTTAATGTGTATTAAGGAGACGACAGCATGCAGTCATTGGTTGACCCTGACGGTTTGCATGCCAGTCTCTTCCTTTACTGAAGTGGCCATTTAATTCTGGGCTTTTGCCAAAACTGCTTTAAATTCATGAACGAATGCTTCTTTATTTATCCATCTCATTCCAGCTGCA